CTGAGATCGCGTCGCTAGGTTGAGGACGTGAACAAACACATGTGCACGCACAGATAGAATTTCATGGCTTCCTGCACATACATACAAATTCTGTTACCTTTTAGCCCTTCTATTTGCTCTCTGAATGTAACGATCAGGAGGAGAAGGCTGGGCCGCTGCGGGCAAACGCTCCAAAACACGTCTTTATTAGTACAACCACAAAACAAATAAAAAAAAAGACACAAATCCCGAAATTTCCCGGCAGCAGCTCCAAGCTGCTGCCGCACACTTTTTGGTTCAACAAAAATAATTTTTAATTTCATTTCTAATCACCACATCAAATATCACGGAGAGGGGAAGGGGGACTCGAGTCAAGAGGCGGAGCATTTGCATATCACAGGGAACCGAAGGGGAACTGGGCAAGACGAAGGGGGTTTAGCAGTCATCTTCGTTTCCTTGCTATTTGCACCTTCTTCCTTTTGCAACACGAAAGTAGTCTACTAAGTCCAACTCCGCCTTAATGTCTTAACCAGATGCATATTTTCTCGTGCAAAACTTACTGTTGATTGGTCTGGTGTTATCAAGTAGCATTTAGCTTTTTTTGGTAGGATTAAGTTACAGTTATGAAATTTTACTGGGCAATGAACACTCAGACTGCCTCCCTTGAAATTATATTTGATTTTGCTTGCGATTACTGTGCCACTCTTCAGGCTGTGTGAGTGCGATCGTTGAAATGGAGAATACAGTGGACGCCAAGAAGGCATTCGATTCGCTTGCGTATGCAAAGCTTCGTACACAGCCATTGTATCTCGAATGGGCACCCTGTGACGTTTTCATTACAGGTACCTCTTAATGCTACCACACATTACCTTGAGAATTTCTCTTCTTCCACGGGAGTTTCACTGCTTTGCAGAAGAGACCAGCGCAAAAGAGACGGAAGTGCAGAATGAGGAACAACAAACAACATCTCAGGTTGAGAAGACCGAAGACAAGAGAGAACTAAGAAGAAGCAAGAAGCATCGTTTGAAGAAGGAGCAGCCGGCTGAATCGCAACAAAATGATGGAAAATCGGAGGATGGTAAGCTTTTTTACTCATTTTTGCGTCCTGTTATATTTTTAGCAGAGACGCACC